GCATCCTATGTGATTGTACTGTTCTTAAAGAAATCAAACTGTAGCTACTGTTGGATACAGACTATTGGGCTAGATGGACTTTTGGAATGCAACATTAGAGATCCTTTGTTCTGACTTAATGTAGCAAGCCTGCCCGGAGACATTTAAATTAGGAGTCTTACTCTGAAACTGATTGAAATCTGAAACTTAATGCCACATTAAAAAGTTTTAACATCTGTTAGCTCTCTTTCATGGCAACTATTACTAAACTGCAAGAGAGGGTAGCAACACTAGTATGTACGAGTACTCAAGATAAACACTGTGATTGTTGAAAGATGCAACCCTTCAAAATGCTTCCTCGAAAGCAAAAGATATTCATCTGATATACTGTAAATATGCATGAAATACTGAGAACGTTTATGAAATGTAGTAATTTCAGCTTACATGCATTTATTGAAACCTCATAATACTGACTCAATTCTAAAATTGAGTAGAATAATGTCTGAGTGTAAAACCAGGATTTACCTCTCATTAAAAAAAACTAGAAGAATGTTCTGTGGTTTGATTTTAAACTTAACCCTGCATGACAAAAAATATGTGCTTTAGGTATATAAAGTTTTATAGCTTTATCACATTTTGTGATTACTACTGATTCAAGATTCTAGAAGAATTTCAAATATTTGAATCAAGACCCCAAAGTTGTTATTGTGTCATCTTCAAATGATAGTCATTCTTATTTTCTCAAAACAACTGAATTTAAATTTTGTTTTAGCTTAAAAGCAAAAGATTATACTAAATAAACAGGAAGGTCATCAACATAGCTGGTATTGTTAGAAGAAAAATCACTGAAAATTGGGCTCTGTTTAATACAGAAAAAACACTTCTTTAAAATATAAATGACACGAATTATCTAGGTTATAAATTAAAAATCATTCAGAATATTAAAAACAAGCAACAGTTCTATTAAATTATAAACTCAAGATCATTACTTAACATTTATATGTTGTACCTTATTTCTCTTTTCTTCTTCTGTCTTGTAATTTCTCCTAAAAACATAATCCTCACTAATTTTGTCAACAGGAGTAAACAGGTACTTATATTAATAGCACAGGATAACTTTTACTCTCTCTGGTGCATTTTTTCCCAGGTTTTCTAGCCTCGCCCAATGAGGCAATGAGGACACAAGAGTTTAAAATAGTATTTGAAACAAACTTCAGAAAATTTTGACAGTCACCAAACACTAATAATAATTGCCCATGTACCTTATAAAAGAGCAAAACACAGTAAAAGAACAAGGTTATAACAGCACAGCGACAAAATAAAAAAGGAAAACAATGTTCGTCAGTAATGCTGGTTTTCACATGGCAAATTATTCAATCTCTTTCAGATACTTTGAGATATTCCAGTACTTTCCACTATGTACAAACATATATTCAAAGAAATCTCCTATGATCCATCATTCTTTGGCTATTTAAGGCTTCTGACCAAATATGTACAATCTTATCGATTATATGCTTTTAGTATGGCAAAACTCCCTTAGAAGTAAGCTTCCACATTGTTTTTAATTAGTCTAGTATGCTTAGTAAGTATATCAATTCACAGTTACTATCTAAGTCCCTATTTAATTGCTACATTTATAGAAATTTAATAGTACTAACAATTTTTTTTAAATATATGTAATAATAAGGTACAAATATCTTGGCTAACTACACTCATCTGTGCAACATACAAATTTTGATTTGTGGCCAAAAGTGAAGCTCAAGGATAATACTTTTGTTAAAAAATAGCAGCCAGTTTCGAGGTGATGATAATCATTGCTGGTTGCATGGAACAATTTGATAGCTTACTTAAGTGGTATCACATCCAATTGAGTTCACATACTGCGTGTAATAAAACTGCTGCAAATTCTTAACAAATTACTGGGTATTAACTGCAGCAGTTATATGGCAATATTCTTACTAACCTGCAATGAAAAGTTCTTCCGGGTCCATCAACACATATACCTCCATTGTAGCAGAGAACTGAGTTCAGTGCAGGTTCACTGCAAACATCAATATCAACTTCACAAAATTCACCAGTGTATCCACTCAGGCAAGCACAAACAAATGCATTATCCAAATCTTGACAAGAACCTCCATTAATGCAAGGAACAGATTCACATTCCTGAGAAGATAAATTATAATACATTGACTATGCAGCTTTAAAGCACATTATTCAGTCATTCAAACCTACAGCAACACAAGTAAGAAATCAAGGAGTTAGTCTGCAGATTAGAGAAACTGGTGGGCTTTCTTATTGCTTGATAAGAAAAGCCTCAAATTCGGGTCAACTTTTGTTTTTATCAAGATCATTTGATTGTTAGTCATACTCAGCCTTAAAAGTATGCTTGTTCCTACTTATTAATCCCCGACAAATGCAAGTGTATTTTTTATGTAAGTAGTCTTACAGATATAAATATGTTTTCTACTCAGGATTCCTTTATTAAAATTTTAAAGCACATTCTTGAGCCATCACTTACATAATTCCACCTGTTTACCTAAGCTTTTATAATAGGGGCTACTACTCAGTGAAAAAGCTGCATTTGTAAGACAATTCTGGACTGAATAAATAAATAACTTACAGTAACTAATACATTCTCCTTTATCAAATAGTGCCTAATATATGATAACTTTCTGCTTATCAATTATTACATATCATTGCAAATAGAAACACGCAGACATTTTTATGCATGCACATAATAACAATTCACTCTAATAAAGCTAACGTGAAAGTAATCAAATTCATACCATGCAAACTAGCAGCAAATTAGTGTTTTGTTAATGTTACAATATTTAATTAGTACAAAAATGAGGGTTTACTTCTGAGCATAGAAACCTAGTTTTTGCCTGTATCTTAAAGAATTGAATTTAATTAGTACAAAAATGAGGGTTTACTTCTGAGCATAGAAACCTAGTTTTTGCCTGTATCTTAAAGATTTTTTTTTTTTGCTACCACCCAAATAGTCTAGCAAAAATCAGTATTTTAAAAGTGAATTTATTCTCACACTTCCTTAACTTTAAAAGGGTTAATTCCTTAAGGATATCCAAGGGCACTTAGTAGATTTCCTGCAAGTACTGCAGTTGCTTTGACAGAATGCAAATTCAGATATCCACAGGGAATTATAAGAAAACAACATGTTTTCCTATCAGCTCTCCAGCTGGGTGTATGTAAGATGATTTATTAGAGAGCATTACATAAACTAATTGAATTACACATCCCATAGGAAGATGAGGATAGTTTTACAGACTGCCAAAAATCCTCTGTCTAGGGTCTAGAAGTCTTTTGCTATATTAATTAAACTTGCCGTGAAATATAAGACTTTCTTTTGTTTTGTTTTGTTTTAAAGACTCTCAATCCACAATTCAAACTTTCTGCCTTTTTTCTATTCCAGTAATTTCTCTCATCCAGTCTTCTTAATTTGCATTCACTTGTTTCCTTCTCTACTACTTCTATTCTTATAGCCTTTCTCATTAGCAGAATAAAATTAAAATCTCTCAAATCAATGGACAAAATCTCTACTAAAGTAATAAAAGAGCATAACAAATAATTGTGAATTATCAAAATCGTCAGAGTAGCAAGGGGTAAGTTCAAAGCTCAAACAAATGTTCAGACCTTTGCCTCAATATGCGATTACAATCATACCATGTTTCAAACAATGCAAAAACCTTCTTATTTTCTTACACATCTATGTGCATGCATACTGCTCCAGTAAAGTCTTACGAGACTGCGCTCAGTAACTGAAATTAGTTTTTAGAGCAACATAAAAAAGGATAGTTTTGTAGGAAAGAAATCACAGCAATTTCTGAACAGTGTATCTGGCTCACTGCAGTTAAAAAGTTCATTAAACAACAAGAAAAACGACATTCTGTTACCAGAGAAGTGACATGCAGCTCTGTTCTTAACTCAGGCAAGAGAATTGTTTCAGTGAAAAGACAGGCAACTGTGTTAAAAAACCCACAAATACAGTTATCCCAAACTAGACGAGCTGCCACAATTCCACAAAGTGCTGGAACTCACAGTCTAAAAGAAAAAGGACAAACCATTAGATGGCAAACTGCAGCAGCAACATAGCTGTGACCACCCCTGCCTAATTTAGATCCTACCAGGGACTGACTTTCCAGCTCAGCATTAGGGAATAGCTGGCTCTACAGCTAATTCCCAACCAGTTTGATTCTCTCACTCCATAAAGACAAGCACACCTAACTATCAATGCCATTTCAGTTTTGTCTTCCTTTTTATAGTGGGAGATTGAATCATAACTGTGACCTCTAACTATACAGTTCCTAAATCAAAGCAATGCTTGCAGGGATTCACACTCCTAGAAATATCCCCTCTCTTCTCAAGTACAGTAGGGAAAAAGAGTTTCTTGGTCATCCCAAGTGCCCAGTTCCCCACCTAATAAGATATCCTTTCACCTTTTCCTGTCTGAAATAGTAAAGTCAGATCCTGTCTTCACTAGATGAAACATACAATTAACTCTGAATAACTAAAAAACCTGAATATTACCAAACAATATATACAAAGACAGGTCATTTTAGTATTTTCAAGATACAAATTGGTGAATGTATACATGGCACAATGACTCACTTAATTTTATGTCACTTTGTACTTTCTTTTTTTAAACGTTTGTTATATCTCAAATGCTATTGTGATCTCGAATTGAAAAATACATCATTTTTAAACTGCAAAGACAAAGCCTTGGTTTTACCAGTAATCTTTCCAAAGTTTTGCAACTAACTTATTCAAGTAAAACAACTGAATGTCACCACCAGCAGTGCAATCAGTGGGTGCAGCACAGGCTTGTTCTCTTAGTAATTTACAATATTTGCTTTGCATGTACATGGTTTGCATACTGTAAATGCTTACAGTATCAACTCAGGCTACTGGATTCAATGTTTTTCACTTACAAATAAATAGAGGTGACTGCAGTTTTTGCCATTAGAATCAAATATCTGTCAATAGCAAAAAACAACCCTATTTGCAATACCTCACTGATCATGAGGCCAGACTCTCTTTTTTCCTTTTTTCCTTTCCTTTCTCCTGGAGCCCATTTTTGCCAGAAAGGAGATATGCAGTGTTCTTAGCCAAAAGAAGGTTCCATTATAGTCACTAGACACCATACTATTTCTCTGGCATCTTTATAACCACCGAAAATCTGTAGATTATGTTACGGTCAGTTCTTTAACTGCACTCCAGGTCTGAAGCCTGAAAGAAATTTGATTTTCAATTCCAGCTGAAATCAAAGGGGGATAAACATCTTTAGGAACTGTACTTTAATCAGCGGTTTCAGATTATGAATGTTTCAAGGGCAGTTCTGGCTTAAGATGTTCTTAATTCCTTCCTCCCTGCTTTTTCCTGACTCCAAACCATGGTGCACTGTCTCCTAAGTTACGTCAGAATAACGGCTTAAAATCATTGTTAAAAAAGAAAGAAAAACAAAGAAACACATACTTTGTGCTTTCTTAAAGACAGTTTTATAATATGCTCTACAATTAGTTATGCAGGCTTAACTGGGAAACTAGCGTGGAGGGAAGAACTAGCTGAAGATGGGGACATGGGAGATACGTAAGTCAGCAGTGACCCCGAGAAAGGACAGACTGAAATCATCAAAGTCTGACTGAAAGGTTTGAAATCTAGTTAAAGATATGGAAAAAGTAAAAACAGGGTATCATGAAAAAGAATCTGAAGAAGAATATATAGCTATTTTTAGCACAATCCTTTTAATAAGGCATTTTACAAAGTGGTTTGTTTTCAAAATATATTTTTTTTAACTTGAACTTGTGGCAGCAGGAGCAATTCTATGGAGAAATTTGTCCTTTGTTAGTGTGACATCACATCTGTTTTAAATAAATAGTCTTGTGAAGTAATAACGAGAAGAACATAATCAAGATGCATTGCCTTAGGTTCCAAATGCCACGCTAGACACCAATGCATTCAGCAAAGTAGGCAGAAATTTCCCTTTGTCAGATATAGTCTTTGCAAGGTTACTGGATGCATTGGCAGCATCTCATAGGTGGGATTTGGTAATTCTGACACAGACAGCAGATAAGATGCACATGAAAAGTTTCAACAGAAAGCGAAGAAGTAAGCATGAATGTACCAGGATCAAGAGCAGTTCTGTTCTGGAACAGAACTGTCAATGCATCTATCTCCATTGTCATGTACTCCAAGGTACAAGCTATGCACATAGACCAAGTGCCTCACTACATTACATTTGTTCCTGTTAAGATTTTGTGCAAATTCAGCATTTTGCTGGCAGTGAATGTTGAAAAACACAAAACTCACAAAACCCCAAAACTAAGACAAAAATCAAACTCCTCCCAAAGTCAAAAAACAACTTTTAATTCCTTGTGGTGGTTCACAGCAAAGACACTCCATTTAGAAAGCAGAAAGAGTGCCAAGATCTCAATATACCACATAGCAGCCATAACACTGAAAGACTGGAGAGCAGCAAAAGTGATGATAGCATCTTCCTCTTCCATTTTGTTTGATTCCTCAGGACTTTCTAGAAACAGTGACTCCTTTTTTGCTATTATTATCTCAGTTTTCATCTTTGATTGAAAATTTGATTTTCCTTCCTGTGAAATTGTATCTGAATTTTTTAAATAATTAAAATTCTTAAAATGATTAAAATTATTTTAACATTTCAAGATCTATTTATACAAAAGATTCAAAGTAAAAAAAAACTGATTATAGATGTATTTTTTTATTTAAATGAAGTTTTGCTTTTTATCAAAAAGAGGGAATTTTAAAGAGGATTAACTGAGAACATAAATACCATATGCAGTTCCACTAGCCTGCTGTAAATATATAAAAACTGTTCACTAATCTATATTTTGACATACTTGTATGTGGTGCATTTTATTATATGGTCTAATTAGTATCTGTTTCTGCAAATACTTACAATATAAAGCCCCAAACAGTTTGCCGTTTGATTTCTTTGTAGATAACTGTGAAGGGATTAACTGTAAGGAAGGAATTGAAGCAGAAAAAGGTAGTGGCCTTACACATCAATTCAAGGAGTAGAAGAAAGCATCCTGATATTTGAGAGAAAAGTGGATTCGAGGTGGAAATCACTGACTTGCAGAAGGTAGAACTAAACAGAGCTTTAAAACTTGGAGTTG